AGTGGTTCCACTGCCTGCCTTGCAAGTACAAGGTCCTGGGTTCAATCCCTGGTAAAAAAAAAAAAAAAAAATTGGTAACTAATTTAGCCATTTTCTCCTCAGCCATGTCTCAGTAGAAACTTGTTCAAGTTTAGGAACGGAGTCATGCACTTGACTCTGACCTCTATCCAAGGACTAGGAAGTTTATATTAGTGTGCTGAATTTGCCTTGAGGAAGTTATTGTAAGTTTCTGAATTCCTATTGGAGGCAACTGTTTTTTTTTTGGTTTTTGGTTTTTGGTTTTTTGAGACAGGGTCTCACTATGTAGTTGAGTCTGACCTGGAACTCACTACGTAGCCCAGGTTGGTCTCGAACTCACAGTGATACTCCTGCCTCAGCCTCCCGAGTGCTGGGATTCCAGGCGTGTGCCACCACACCCAGCCAGGAGGCAATTATTTACAACCATACTCTGTTTCAAAGGCACTTGGAAATTGGTAAAATTTGTTATTCAGAAAAAAAGCATTTATTATCAGCATTTTCCAAAATGTGTTTAGAAAGCTAGGAACATTAGTTCAGAGATAGTAGTAGGCTGTTATTTAAGGAATATACTTGTGAGAAATTTTCTTCCTACAAGATTCTCAGAATTTACTATAATAATGTGAGCTTTTTTTTTTGGTACTAGGGATTGAACTTAGGCCCTTTCACTTGGGAGGCAGGCACAGCACTACTGAACTAAATCCCTGGCCCTGTAAATTTTTTCTTTTTTGCCATGCTTGGGATTGAACCCAGGCCTTGCTCATAATAGGCAAGTGCTCTACCACTGAACTGTATCACCAGTCCCCATTATTTTTGACTAGAAAGCATACTTTTCATCCATCACCTTATGGAACACTGTCCCATGATACAAATTAATTTGGAATATAAAATATAAATAACAGAATGTTCTGAATATTGCAATATTAATGCCTCAAAATATCAAATTTGGTCTTCTCTAGGATTTGTTTGGTGGCAGTCAGTTTTCTCTAGTATGTGGTCTTTGTTACACTCACAGAAAACATTGTTTTCAAGGTAATGGAAAGAAACAACATTCACTACAAGTATTTTTTTATTGACAGTCACAAGTTCTAGATTTACTAAACTCAGAGGTAGTCATGACTCCTCCCCAATAAACTTTACTCCAGACAATTCATTTTAGTAAGTTCTTAACTATATAGTAGAAGAGAAAGTCACTGAGAGAACTTGTAAAATCAGCCATGTATCCTCTATAAAAGGTTATAGGATTTCAAAACTAAGATGATAAAATGGTTTGTGAACAGTACAGTATAATATCTACTTATTAGTGATATAACAAAGTCTAGAGCAAATGTAGACTTCTACTTTAGGTATTAGGGACTCTGTGTCCTTACCCACTGGGGCCATTATCATCTTCCTTTCCTGCCGCCTGAAGTCAGGAGGAGGATACAAGTGATCTGTCATAAAATAAACACCAGCCATATTACTACTGTTTAAAGTCAGAACCAAACTTCTCAGTAATTAACATCCTGTTATAAGACAATATACTATTCCTATGTTTTTGGATTCCTTAGGAAAAGATACTTTGAATCCAGCATCAGACATGTACTTTTTATACATAAATGTAACTTACACCATTTTTAGAAACATTACAAATGCAAATTTGCTCCTGGAACAAAACACAACATTGACTTCTTATACTTTCAGAAATGTTGAAGTTTTAACATTTCTGATACAACTAGCAGCTTCTCTGTAGTAAGCACCAAAATCAACACTGACACTTGTCTGTAGAGACTTAACATTTCTCTGAAATACTTCACACATTTAAAATCACATTAGTGTTGCTCATTTCATGAAACCTCCCTTCAATACTAGTTGCTCAGTCTTGCTAACTAAAGTTTCTGTTTTTAGATCAACTGTTTATAACTGAGGCAGAAGAATTGGCCTTTAATAAAGTGTTATAGTCTTCAAAATATTAATCTGAAAATTATCTTTCCTTTACCTGGAAAAGCACCAAAAGTGGTATCTTCTACTGTTTCTAACCCTGGGGGGGTGTCTTCATTTTACAGCTAAGGAAACTAAATGTGCAGTGGATTTGAACCCAGGTTTCCTGCCATCTAATTATCACTTCTGCTTTTTTTTCTCTTACCTCAAAAAACCTTTGTAATATTGTTTTTTCTTTAAAAAGGATTATATAGTGATACCTCAGCTCATGAACACTTTTGAGAACAGTTTGGTTCACAAAAGTATTTGGCAAAATTTTATTTTTGTTTACAAACTCTACTTTGGGTGACAAACATGACCACAGCCATCTTTCCCACACAAACACAAACATGTCCATCTTTTCCGAAATCGTGGAATAAATTTTGTGAACTGAGATACTACTGTATTTTAATTTAGACCCTGAGAAGGATAACCATCAGTCTCAGGGCGGAATAGAGCGGGAAAAGTGTTAGGCAGGGACACCTGGGACTTGGTCTGACCACAAGATTTCACTATTGTACCTTTGTGTGTGTGTGTGTGTGTGTGTGTGTGTGTGCACGAATGTGCTAAAAAAGATTGCACTCAAGGCTTCACAGGCTCAGCATATATTTATTCTTCCACTAAGCCACACCCTTAGCCCTGTTTGCCTGTAAATGATTTAAAATTTTATTTTGATTTAAATTTCTGATTTTAAAACTTTCAGTAAAAAATTTACATTAAGCTCATGAACCAATTCAAATTTCAGTTCATGCACCTTTAAAAATTGCTGCTTAGAAAAGTTAGAGCTCTTGAGTTCTCAATAGAAAAAGTGTTTAGGGCCGGGCGTGGTGACGCATGCCTGTAATCCCAGCACTCTGGAGGCTGAGGCAGGAGGATCGCTGTGAGTTTGAGACCAACCTGGGCTACATAGTGAGTTCCAGTTCAGTCTCAACTACATAGTGAGACCCTGTCTCAAAAAAAAACAAAAAACAAAAAACAAAAAACCAAAAACCAAAAAACTGTTTAGGGCTGTGGTGGTGAACCTATGGCACACGTTCCACAGTGGGCTGTTTGTTATTTAAAGCTCTAAAAGGTTCACCATAAATGGTTTAGGGCTTGATGGCAAATCAAGTTTATTTTTATATACTTTTATATTTAATATACTAAGATAATTTTCTGCATTATTATATTAACATTCTTTCAATTATATAATAAATTACTGCTTAAATAAAAATGGTCAAGAGATTCAGGGTATTCCCACACTTTATAAGTAGTTGAAAAAGACAAATACTGTTGATATTAACTTGTATGATTTGTGCATATAGAATAAGTTTGGCACAGAAATGGCACCTAAAAAGCAATATCTCCTCAGCCCTTTGTGGGTGGGTTCCCAAGCTGTTAAGATCAGTGTGGTTTCATTTTCAGGTACAATTTAAACTGATAAGAACAGATACTACACTTGAACTTAGCCAAAAGGCCGAGAAGCAATTCAAGTACATTTTAAAATAAGAACCAAGATAACTCGATTTTCATAATACACAGCCCTTAGGAATCTGCCTACAAGAGCTACCATTGTTTTTTTGTTTGGTCCTTTCCCTGTGCCTTTCATTCTTACATATAATATTTTAAGACAAGTTACCTTTCATAGTAGATAATAGTTTCTTTAAATGAGTACTAATGATACAATATTTGTTTTCTGATAAAAAAGTAGTGTGCTACTACCAGCTAACAATAGTTTACAATAAAACTTAATCATAAATGGAAGTAAATGCACTGCATTTGGACCATTTTTCTTGATATATGGAAACATGTTTATGTCAGGGTTCCTAGTGAGTATCAGATTGCCAAAATATAAGGCCTGCTTTTAAAAAAAGACTCAAAGCCCTATAGTTTCTGAAAGGATCTAGGAGTAACAGGTCTTCTGGACTCCTGCTTTGTGCTAGGCTCGGAGGATATAAAAATGAATTTTTCAAACAAGTACACTGTGGTCTCAGAGAGCTCAGACTGTACTGGAGAGGCACACAAGAAGTAGGCAGTTATCCTACAGTGTTGTAAATCCAGGAAGAGAGAGAACCAGTTTATTCTGAGAAGAGAAAGGACCCTGAAGTCCAGTTGGCCTGGGATGGGGGTGGAATGGTATTGAATAGGATGACTGGTAAAGGCTACCTGCTGGAGTTGATACTTGAGTGGAATTTTAATGTAACAGTGGAAAAAAAAAGGTAGATCAGAATGGCATTCCAGATACAGAAAACACACATGTCGTGTGTTTAGGTAATAGCAGTTGGTTGTTGATTTTTAAGTAGCCCCCAAGATTGTGCGGAGGATGGAGGTGAACATTTAAACTGTTGTGGTACAGATGAAATAAGAGGGCAGAATTAATATTTGTATCCCATCTTTAGCAACTGAACATGTGGATAAAGAAAGAGGAAGTACTGAGGATGATTCTCAGATTTCTAGCATGGTGGTACCAATAACTGAGATAGAGGATACAGCATTAAAGGCTCTTGAGGGAAAATCAAGCTCCATTTGCAGCATGATGAGAGTGAAGTATATCTCCTGGGGCATTTGGACATGAGTCTGAGGCTCAGGCAAGAAGCTAGAGTTACTCCCTAGCTAGAGTAGGGGGTCCTCATCGTACACAATGGTGGCATCCAACTGCAATAAGGCAAGGACACTGGCTGTGGAGGGAGAGAGACTTCATTGACTGTTGGTGTAGACAAAACCTTGTAATCACATCCGGGCCATATTTTCTTGGGTCACTTACACCCGGTTTGCCTATTTTCTCTCATATCTCCTTAAAACTAAATATTCCTAAGTCCTATCATCATTTTTCTTTCTGGAAAACCAATTACATACAGTATTATCTCTTTGCAGATAGCCCTAATGGCAAGGTCTTGTACATAGTAGGTAATCAATAAAATATTCATCTTTGTTACTTATATTCACTTGGTTCTTTGCATAAAAATTAGCTTTTTTGAGGGAGTACTGGGGATTGAACCCAGGAAGCTAGATCCCCAACTCTATTTTTTGAGACAGGGTCTTGTTAAGTTGCCCAGGTTGGACTTGAACTTGTGATCCTCTTGCCTCAGTTTCCTGAGTCACAGCTGGCATTATAGGCATACATCACCATTCCTGGTTTAGTTCCTTATTTTCTTCTTTCTTGAAGGAACTTCTACTTTGCTTCTCAAGTTTAACTTACAAATTTCTAAGACTTCAGGATTAATTTAAGTGTAAGGAGGCAGTGCTTAACAGGTATGTATCTTCCCTTCACCATCAAAGACAGTCGCTTCCTTTCATTATTGTCACATATTGCTCATCGCAGGATCTGGAGACATCCATTCTCTTATTCAGTTGAGGTCTCTCAATGGGAGTTAGTGTTGCCTTAACCTGGAGTGAGCAATCCCTGATTCCAGGTGGTGATGAGAGCGGAGTTTCACAATTTATTTGAAAAATATATGCAAAAGAGTCAGTAAAAATAGGAATAAACTGGGCTTTGTTGCAGCTGAGTGGCTCGGTGACATTTTATACAGAGGAATCATTGGGCATGACGGATTTGGTACTGGGAGAGAATCCAACTGTCCTTGAAATGGAAGTACAAAATCCTTTTTAAGAGCACTGAAATGCTGGGATTTCTCTGGAATAACCACCTTTGTGAGGTGTGGCTCATGTCCAGGGGCTGTAACCTGAGGAGAAATAAGAAACAATTGCATGAGTGATTTCAGATGTTTTGTGGTGCCAACACTGAAAACACTGATACCTTCCACTAAAATGTGGCCTTTGTGTAATGCCTATAGCACTCTGCCAAGCCTCTGGAACCTGTAACTGATGAGTATCCAATGCCTATTGACAGTTGCTAATGCTGTAGCCAAGAATCACAAAGTGAAATAAAGACAGAAACGGGTACCTCATTTGCTGATGTAAGTCAGAAGAAGAAAGTGGCCGACTGACTCTGCCACCATCATTTTCATGGATCAGCAAGGTAAAGGGTTGTTTTTCTTTGCCCCAAGTTTATACTTAATACCATTACTGGATATCAAGAGTCTTTTAAAAGCAGATTTCTTTCCCCAATTCATTCCCATTTTCCTTGTGGCTGATATGAATGTACAGGTCTGTTGCTTTCTTTTAAAATATTTGATTTTACCTGGTTTCATTCAAGCGAGTCTGAATCTCTATTCAGATTTGCTTTTTTGGTAGGAGAAATGACCAGAAAAAATAAGATGAGTGCTAACTAAATAGAGATTATCTCCACTGAGAAATGCTTTTATTATAGATGGTGGAGAGGGAAAAGAATGGGAGTAATAATGATAATAATAATAATGATAATTGCTAATCAGTGCTTTAGCCATTTGTTTCAGCTTCAAAAGTTTACTCCAGTCTTATCTTAGGACAGTGTCTATAGAAGAGATGACTTCCTTCTTCCAGAAACAGTTCTATAAAAAGTGACTCCAGGGCCAGGGATTTAGCTCAGCAGTTCAGTGGCCTGCCTTGCAAGCTCAAGGACCCGAGTTCAATCCCCAGTACCAAAA